TCTAGGTGGTCGCATGTGGACAGCATAGACGGAGGAGCGCATTCTAAAATGATGACTCCAGCCGAGGGGCAAACCTCGGGAAACAAAAGGAACCAAGAAGCAAAGTCCACAAAAATCACAATCTAGGACTCTAGGACGTTCCATCAGCTCACGGCTAATGAACTGGAAGGAAAAGAGAGCCAGCTGCAGTTAGGAAGAGAGAGGTAGGGCCACTGGATTCCCGTGCAACTTCAGAAAGGGCTCTGATCACAGTAACTGCACAGGATAGAATCAAACAGGCGGCTTTCTTTATTTTTATGAAATGAATCTTAGCTCCTGGTTAAAGGATCCAGGGGGTAGCAACTTGAATTCAGCTTGTGCCCATGCAGCATGTCCTCAATCTTTAATTCAGCGTTGGACCATCTCCTCTCTCTCTCTCTTCTGACCTGGGGTCTAGCTCTGTTGTCTGCTCTGGCCTGGAACTCACAAGCCTCCTGCCTCTGTCTCCTGAGCAGCCCAGATTACAGACATGTGCCATGCGGGCTGGCTTGACGATTTCACCTCTTAGTGGATCCCATCCTCACCACAAAGGCAATCATTCTGACATGAATAAACGATTGGCTTGGGGCAAGTAATACAAGCTCTCCATGCCTCGGTTTCCTCATCTGTGAAATAGGGATTGCAACAGTACCTAGGTTCAAAGAAATGTCCAAAAGGCACTGACGTTCTCTTCTCAGATACACCAAAGGCCAATATGCACATGGAAAGGTGTTCAGCATTGCTATTCATTGGGGGGTGCAAATGGAAACTACTAGAAGGTGCTGTCTCATACCCACTAGAATGGCTAAAATGGAAAAGCTGAAAGCAAGCGTGGAGAAGACGCAGAGGAACAGAAACTCCCACAAACTGCTGCTTGTGAAACACTGTGATCTCTCAGAAATCAGTCTGTCAGTTCCTCAAAATGGTAAGCAGAGACTTTTTATTTTTAGTTGTTGATGGACCTCTATTTATTTATTAATTTATATGTGGAGCTGAGAATCGAACCCAGTGCCTCACACATGCTAGGTAAGCACTCTATCACTGAGTCACAGCCTCAGCCCAAGCAGAGACTTTTCATTTCGACCAGCAATTTTACCTCGGGTCTCTAACCAAGAAGAAATGAAGACGTGTTCCTCCACAAAGAATCATTCAGGAGCGCACCTAGTAGCACTGTTCATCATGGCCCCAGAGGAGAAACAACCCAAATGTCCATCAGCAAATGAATGAATAAGCCAGTGTGGTGTAGCCTTAGGTTGGAACCAGATTCATCGGCATGGAGATGTGAGGAACTGTTCAGACAGCAAGAGGCATAGACCTCAAAAATCCTGATGGTAACTGAAAGGGACTAGGCACCACAGATCACTATTGTATGACTCTATTTATACAAAGATTTCCAGAAATGCTGGAGGCAGTGGTGGGCACCTGTAATCCTAGCTACTTGGGAGGCTGAGGCAAGAGGATGGCTATTTTGAGGCTAGCCTCAATAACTTAGAAGACCCTGTCTCAAAATTAAAAATACAAAAAGGGCTCGGGTTATAGCTCAGGGGAAGAAAGCTTGCCTCGCATGTGAGAGGCCATGGGTTCAACCCCCAGTACTGGAAATAAAAGGAAAAAATAAGAAAAGAAGAAGAAAAGAATGAAATGTCCAGAAAAAAGCAAATCCATACAGCCAGAAAGGTAGGGCTGGGTGTGGAATGGGAAATAGAAAACAGGTGTGAATTTTTTTGTTTGTTTGTTTTTATGGTGACAAAAATGCTCTGAATTAGATTGAAGTCATGGTTGCAAGACTCTAAATCTACTAAAAAAAATCACTGATCTGTACAGTTGTAAAATGAGTGACTTTACGATAGATATGTAAACGATACCTCAATAAACTTTGTGAAATGTAAATTCTACCTCAATAAAGCTGTTAACGTGAGTGGGAGCTGAATTCCCTTAGTCCCCCGTCCCTGAAAAGATTTGTGATGTGGTGATGGCCACTTCCATGCCTTCTAGAAAGGCTTTATAGTAAAACAGAGGCTCAAAAACCACTCTAAGTTTTTGTTGTTGGGTGGTGCTGGGTATCAAACCCAGGCCCTCACGAAGGCCAGACAAGCGCACTACCCCTGACCTGCACTCTCAGTCCTATTTATTACGAGTTCTCAGTGACTCGGTAGCAGAAGACCAGATATATGGAAGCAACACCGTGTTTATTTTAGCAACGGTGAAAATCAGTCGGGCGCGGTGTCCACGGAGGTTCATAAAGGTATGAAGCTCCCTCCCCTTCGTGGCTCTGCAGATGCTTAAACCACAAGCCTTATGGAGAAGTGACCAGAAGCTACAGGTAAAGTGGAAAGAAGAAGTACCTGGTGCAGGCCGGGAGCCACACACGCACTGCCTGGGGCTACCCGGAAGACAGAGGGTCCTAGGCACAGGGCAACTCGGCTGGGCTGGGCTCACAAAGGAACCAGGGGGCTGGGGTGTAGCTCAGCAGCAGGACTCCATGCCTAGCATGTGCCAGGCCCTTCCATTCCCAGCACCAAAAAAAAAAAAAAAAAGATAACTGTAATTTTCCAGGCAAAGAAGGGCCTAGAAGAAAAGCTGGCATAAAAGCAAAAATGTCTATTTGGGGAACAGCAGTTGTACAGGGAATTCAAGTCAGAGCCAGATAAACAATTTTAACTACATTTTTTGGACATTTTAAATAAAAGCTTCTCAAGGTCAAAATGGCTCTGACAGACTCCCTTAATGCCTGATTTCACTTTCCTAGACCTGAACTAAAACATACACTTCAGTCCTCAAGATGCATCAAGGGGGTAATTTATGCTGCCCTCAGCAGCCCCAGGTCTAAAGACTCCCACAGCCTAACCACGCTCCCGCAGGGCGCTTTCCAATGGGTTTGGGCCTAAGTGGCAAAGGGTGTCTGCCCTTTGGAATAGACAGCGCGGGGTGGGGACATGGGAGGGTTAGAATTCCTGGCCTGGGAACTGCTTAAAAGCTGAGCCAGAGTTAAAAATTCCTAAAATAAACTTTCTGCAAAACAGGAGAATTTTCTATTCGTAGAAAACATGTTCTGAGACAAGCCCAATAGTACAGTTATCCCTCGGATGATTGGCTCCAGAACCTCCCATGGAGACGGAAGTCTGCAGAGGTATAGTGTTCGCATGGGCCCTGTGCAATCCTCCTGGATACTTTAAAGCATCTCTAGATGACGTATAATACCTGGTACAGTATAAACAACGAGAAAAAAAGTCTGCAAAGGTTCTGTTACAGATGATTTTTTTTTTCTTTTTTTTTGGTACTAGGGATTGAATTCAGGGGCACTTGACTACTGAGCCGCATCCCCAGCCCTATTTTATATTTTATTTAGAGACAGGGTCTCACTAAGTTGCTTGGAACCTCGCTGTTGCTGAGGCTGGCTTTGAACATGAGTTCCTCCCATCTCAGCCTCTGGAGCCGCTGAGATCATAGGCACACGGGGCTGTCATCGAATGATATTTTTTTTCCAGAATATTTTCTATCTGAGCTTGGTTGAATCATTGGGTGCAGAACCTGTGGCTACAGAAGGATGACCATACTCTTCTCCCTCTTATTCATTTTTGTTCCTGGCTCCACATGATGTTTGAACCCCACTGAATGAGAACATTAGGCCAAAGTCTAGGTTCTGGCTCCAACAGTTCATTTCACATTCTCACATCTGTTGGGAAGCAGGACTAGGCACAAGGAGTAGAGGGTCCAGAGAGGCACCCAGAGTTAGATACAAGAAGGGACATTAACACCTGCAGCCACATACCCGACTTCTTCTCTTCCTTCTTTCCTCCTATCCTTTCCCTCCCCTCCCCCCTCATTTCCTTCCTTCTTCTCCTTCTTCTTCTCCTTCTCCTTCTTCATGGTGGTGGTACTACTGGGGATTGAACCCAGGGATGCTCTATCACTGAGCCACATCCCCAGCCCTTTTTTATCTTCTATTTTGAGACAGGGTCTCATTAAGTTGTTGATACTGACCTCAAACTTGCCATCCTCCTCCTTCAGCCTCCCAAGTCCCTGGGATTACAGGCATGTGCCATCACCCCGGGGCCACATACTCGATTTCTAAAACAAAAATTTTACCTGCTATACATTAAAGCTTTAGAATAGTAATGCTAAAATAAAACCTCAAGAATCAACATCCAAGAAGTTAATCTGTTTGTTCCCACTTTCTTTTAGTATCAGATGCATTCCTACAAGGTGCCAGGTACAATTCTCTACTCCTTCCATCAGTCCTACAAAGAGACATTTTATCCCTGGAATCTAGAAGAGGCATCAGGCTCAGTCAGAGACATTTGGCATCTTGTCCAAAGCTAAACAGACTCTGATGGTGGATCCAGGCTCCTAGCTCAGGTCTATTGGTTTCCAAATCCCACTAGTGAGCTCCTCTGTGACTCCACAGAAGGAGCTGACCTGGAGATATTTGTCCAGCACACTCGAGAGTCCACTCAAGTCTAAGATGCATTCCACCCAATGACAATGCATTCCACCCAATGGTTCTAATCCAGTTGAACCCAAATCTTTCATTTTTCTCTTTAATACACTTTTAGCGTCATCAGTATAAAATCGAGACAGATCATAAGAAGAAATTCTGCTTGGGGTTTTCTAAAAAAGAATTGCTGCTCAGAGGGACAGTGGGATACTGAAACAGGTTCCTGTCACTGGCTGTCCTAGAAGATGGTATAATTAACAAATTAACAAAGCAAAGTGTTGACAGATACCATTACTATTACTCAACCCATTTTTCATGCTAATATATATGGATGTGTAAAGTGCATACAAATCAACTATGAGTGAAATATCTGATTTGAGGAAACAGATTGAATTGTTTTCTTTCTTTCTTTCTTTCTTTCTTTTTTTTTTTTTTTTTGTTCTGGGGATTGAACCGAGGGTCTCCAACCACTGAACCACACACCCAGCCCTTTTGTACATTTCATTTTGAGACAGGGTCTCACTGAGTTCCTTAGGGACTCACTAAGTTGCTGCTGGCTTTGAACTTGTGATCCTCTTGCCTCCGTCTCCCAAGCTGGGGTTACAGGCGTATACCACAGCACCTGAATTTCTGTATACCGAATCCTGTCAGGGTTTACCTTCAAGGTAACAGAAGTACAAAGTGTCCTCTTGAGAGAAAAGAACCAGGAATGGTGCAACTTATCTAGGGAAGGAGAAAAAGTAAGTAAGGATAGGAAATGAGCCACAGAAGATCCGAGAAGGAGCCCAGTGGCCACTGAAGGAGAGCAGACAAAGACGGCAAAGATCACTCCCGGGTCGGCCCCCTTCCCAGACTTCTAAAGAAACTACAAAACCAATGCCACTGTTTTCCTTGATAATCTACCATAAAAGGCCGAGTCTCCGGGGCCATTTATCACCTTCCTAAGAGACTGGCTCCTTAAGCACTCACTGAGCTCTATCCCAAGGGATATAAAATAGAGATGGTTCAAACCAAGACAATGGTAAAACTTCTCTCTCCAACTTTTCTCCCTCCCAGGTCGGTCTCAAGTGCCCTATAAGCCTGATTGGTTTGGGAAATGCCAGTTCCCTCTGGACCCAAGAGCCCACGAGCACACCACGGGACCTTGAGCGGCATTCCAGAGACCTCCTTGGTTTGCATCCACTTTTCCTGGCTCCCACAGTCACATCTCTCAGGTCGCAGCTCCTTGCACCTCGGCATTTCATGCCCCATTCCTAGGAAGGGGGCTAAAGGGATGTGCCAATCTGAAGGAGTGACAAAGACTCAGGCCACTGTGAAGCCTACCACAGACGGAGATGCAACCAACCTCCCACATCAAGGGCCAGGGTGGGGGGATGCCGGCCCCGGCAGGGCTGGTGCGCGAAAGCAGATGGAAGCCCAGGCTCCGTTGTCCAGACTTGTCGTCCCCAACTTTGCTCCTTCCTCTATTCCTTCCCTTTCAAGCACCTTGACATTTCTTCTTCCTCCCGTCTCTAACCAAACCTTATCTCTTTTTTTTTTCATTCATTTGCATTTTTAAATGAATTTGAAATAAACTCCCATGGGGTCCTACTTAAATCACTCCTTCAGTCATTGAAACCCTCCAATCTGAGGAGACCAACGAAGCACATCTGATTCCCGTCACAGGCTGAACTCTCCGACCCAGCTGATGGATAGCTAGGAAGGAAGGCATGGCTGAACCTGACCCTCGGGCCTACACGTGGTTCCTCCTCCTGATTGTACATCATCCACGACGGAGTCAGAAAGTAAACGAAAAGAAAAAACATCACCTTGCCACAGAGAGACGGGGAGGAATGAGGTGGGCACGAGCAGGGGTAAGAGAGATGGCAGGAGGGCTGGGGAGAAGGGACGGCAGGGCTGGTGAAGCTCTCTGGCAACATCTTTAGAGCCTGAGTAGGCCACACACAGAGTCTTATCTTCTGGGAATCCACCAGCGGACCAGCCACCTCTTAAGGGACATACTATGTACAAGCGATCATATTTAGTTTTTATTAAACCACATGACCTTTCCACACCAGCCACCGTTAACGGAACAACTTGGGGATTAGGTGAAGGGCAGCTGTCCGCAGAGAGGCTGACATCAGGCTCTGAGGTGGTGTCACATGACAGCAGGATCTTGCCACAGCACAGTGACTATGTGACCCAAAGCAAGACTCCCTGGGAATGTCTGAGTAAGGCTGCTGACAATAGGGCAGCACAGAATCAAGCAGAGGCAAGGGGAGGAGGAGCAGGTAGGAGCCACAGGGGAGGGGACCCCATTAGCCAGCAGAAGCTCTGCAGCCGAGGCAAGGGTTGCAAATAACAAGGGCCTAGAGGTGGAGCACTTGCCCAGCGTGTGCAAGGCCTGGGGTATCCCCAGCACCTCATTAAGAAAGAAAGAAATGGCTGTGGCTGTGGCTCAGTGGTAGAGCACTTGCCTAGTATGTGTGAGGCACTGGGTTCCTTTCTTAGCACTGCATATAAATACATAAAATAAAGGTCTTTCAAATATATATATATACATATGAAAGTTTTTGGAATGCATGAGTCAGTGGATTTGTTTTCAATTGTTTTGCTGGTGTTGCTGCTTACCAGAAATGTGAAAATCTAGTTGCAATCCATAAATCATGCTGAGCGGCCAGGTGAACTTTTGTCTCCATCAGTGATTACAATTGTGGACTTGGAGGGTGGGAGGAGACTAAGGGGACTTCTTTTCAGCACTCGGGGCTCCCTGGGCAGCATCTCCCTGACCTCTGCATCCTTGGTTTTGCTCACTGACCTTGAAGCTCCTTGGGTTCTTCTGTCTCTCACCCTGTAACCCTAGATTCATCTTCCACAGTGACAGACTTGGTCCTACTTTTCTTTCATGAGATATCTTTTGTTAAGACACTTTAAGCCAGGCCTGGTGGTGCAAACCTGTAATCCCAGGGGCTTGGGAGGCCAAGGCAGAAGGATCACGAGTGCAAGACCAGCCTGGGCAACATAGCAAGACCATCTCCCAATAAAAAATAAAAATAAAAGACTGGGGATGTAGTTCAGTGGTAGAGTACCCCTAGGGCATTGAATCCCCAATCCTACAAAACAAATAAATGTCTCTGAAGTCTTTTTCTTTAGATTGAATATCTTTTTTATTTGTCTGGATCCTTTCCCCCCAAAAAAAATGGGGTTTGGCCTTTTAACCTTCTTGGGAGACTGCTTTGTCAGCAGCTCCCCGACGGTTGGTCTGGTGACAGGCCTGGATGGTCTACATCATGGGTTAAGTCACACGGAAGAGAGAAGTGGGGCTTTCACCTTCCGTATTTCGCATACTACTGTTCTTCCTGCACGGCTGTAGGGGCCTGTCTCTCCTCGAGACTGCCTGAGCTTCTCTTTTTCATTCCATGACTCCTTCCTGCTCTAGAAGAGCAGATCTTCAAAGCCTTCTAAGTCTAGGAAGTTGTGTGCTAACATCTCAAACATGCCTCCGCAGAGGCTGGACCTGGGAATCCCCTGGAAGCTACAGTAGACCCTCTGGGAAGTGGACCTGGCCTTCCATGTGTCCAAAAGCTTCAATACAGCCAATCACTGTAAGCAACCACCAATGAAAAGAAACCATAAGCTTGATCCTCACATGGATTCCACTGACTTTTTTCCTTGAGCCTGAGAATTTTTAATTTTTTTTTTTTTTCCAGCTGGACTAGTTCAACTGAGAGGTTCACTGCAAACAACTTAAGGTTATCAAATAACTTGGAGATTAGACAAAGGAAAAGGTGGAATTGACTTAGCAACAACAGAGACGCAATTGAAAGTCACCCTTATTTTGTTTATTTAATTTTGCTATCAGGGATTGAACCCAGGGTTTCTTGATCACTGAGCCACATCCTCAACCCTTTTTAGCTCTTATTTTGAGACAGAGTCTCACTAAGTTGCTTAGGGCCTCTTTCAGTTGCCGAGGCTGGCTTTGAACTTGCAATCTTCCTATCTCGGCCTCCCAAAGCTACTGGGATTACAGGTGTGTGCCACTGAGCCCAGCGAAAGTCAGCTTTAAAAGAACATCAGACTTAAGGAGAGTTGGCTTACAGTAGATGCTTTTGGTGTTTATTATATTTGAGTATATGGTCCAACCACAATGAAATCCTTTTTCTTGTAAAATGAAGGTGTTGGTCCAGAAATCCTTAAGGTGCTCTAATTTTCTGATTCAATTCCAGGAAAGAACTTGCAAATAAAAAATTTAAAAGTTGTATGTCTTGCTCCCTGTATGTAGGCTAAGTGTAAAGGTGAGCCTATGGGTCTCTGGGCCCAGTGACGCAGCTTGGTGTATCAGCAGAATCTAATCAGACAGTCAATTTTTTCAACTTGGCTTTGCTAATCTATGCTTCTGTTTCTTGGCTGCCAAATAGAGTTGAAGTGTGATATCTAAATCAATTTTTTTCAACTTGGCTTTGCTAATCTATGCTTCTGTTTCTCGGCTGCCAAATAGAGTTGAAGTGTGGAATCTAAAGATGTTGAACTCACTGACAGCGGTTAGAATGGAGTACAGGAGAGAATGAAGGGTAGTTGATCAAAGCTATGAAATTTCAGATAGACAAGAGGAATAGTTTTGAGAAATATTGCACAGCAGGGTGATTATAATCAATGATAACGTACTATATATTTCAAATAAATAAGAGACCAAATCTCAAACATGGTACCATAAAATATGATAGGTAAGGCAGGTGATGGATATGTTAATAGGCTTGATTCAATCATTCCACATTGTATACACTTATCAAAATATCACAGACGCCATCAGTGCATATAATTGTAATTTCTGAATATAAACTAGAATTAATTTTAAAATAACATTGACAAATAAATAAATATTCCCCATTTTAAAAATTAACATTTGAAACTGTGAAGAAGTGTGAATGTCAATTCTTTTACCATCTCTTAGGCAACTTATTCAGTACTGACATATTTATTTTTTTAAGAAAAGGAATTATGTGTGGTGGCATGTACCTATAGTCCCAGCTACCCAGGAAGCTGAGATTGGAGGATCATGAGGAGTTCAAGTCTAACCTGGGCAACAGAAGAAGACCCCTGTCTCTTAAACCACAACCAAAAAAGACATACATACCAGGAATCCTATTAAGAGTCACCCAGAAATGTTCATCAGGACTGTAGGTGTCCCTGGACCAGGAGAGCAAGTCCAGTGCTTGCTGGTCTTGGAGAACAAAGTTAGCAAATTCCCTTGTGAGGGCCACATAGGCAGTGCCAAAGTAGATGGTCATATTGTGAGGAGGAGGAGATTTTAATTTCCCTGTTTTGTGCACGTAGGAGTATTTGCTGTTCAATAATTCTTGGTGGACATACTTAGTCCGTCCAATTGCGTGAGCTGGCGGCAGCACCCCTGGGGTAAGGTTCTTCCCTATAAATCCTTTCAGATACTGAATTATTTCCTTGTTGGTTTTCAGGGGAAAATCTTGCCCACAGGTGTTGAGGACATACTTCCAGGGCACGGCCGAAGCCACCAGGTCCTTCATGCAGTTGATGTCCGCCTGGAGCCTGGAAATCCCACCATAGACCACAGGTTCCATCTTAGAAGCCAGAAAAGCATTTGGGAAGCAGCTCAGTAATTGTTTCACCGCATCCTTAAATGCAACTGTTGCCTTCTGGTCCACGTGCACACAGTAGACGTTCTGGGGCATGTAAATGGCCCTGAAGAGCCTCTCAAAAGTGTCAAAGTCCTTGTGGATGGTCAGGGTGAACGCCAGAGGGAAGTCAGCTTCTTCCTGAGACAGTGTTTCTGTTATATAATGATTCTGAACTCTATACTCGTAGCAAGTGGATTCTCGCAAGGTAGTTTTCAATACATTCTCTGCTGGGTAAAACACCTCCTCCTTCAACATCTGGAGGCAGACTTCAGCCAGCAGCGAGCTGTTGATGGGGGCAGCCTTCAGAAAGTGCGTGTTCTCCCATAACTTATTGTTGTAAACACATATAAAAACCAGGGCAGTGATAAGAGACCCACTAAAGAGAGAGTACTTCCAAGAGCCCATCGTTCAGAAGCAGGAAATGAGCAAAACGTCTTTGGAAAATGAGATCAGAGCCTCGATCCAGTTAACTCACGTCTCCTGCGGGCTCCAACCTCATCCTCCTGGTAGACACACTTCTCATCAGCAGCCAGCCGTTCTTTTCCTTTTCTTTCTTGCTTTCTTCTTCTTCTTCTTCTTTTTCCCTCTTCCTTCTCTCTTCATTTACAGCTCTGTCTCGTTTTCACTTTTCTTTGACACATTTCTGAAGTAGCTGTTTTGCATCTGCCTTGCCTGCCGGTCCCTTCCTCTGCAAAACCCTCCTCCCAAACCTCCGCCCCCCCCCTCCTGCCCCGGAGCTGCTGTGGCCAGTTGAGAGTACCTTTTCCCACAGTGAGCTCACTCATGGGTGAGGTGGCTGTTCTGCAAGTCATCGCTCTAGGACTTCAGACCCGCTTCTTGTCCTAGCCCAAGGCTGGTAACTGTGTCAGCTCCCCAGCTTCCTGTTAATCATTGCATTCAACTGACTGGGTTTGTTTGCTTAAACAGCACTGCCAAGTTAAAAGCCACAGTTGGGAGCATGTGAACACCGCCTGGAGAGAGATTCTGTCAATAAAAAACAACCGTGCTTGAAAATAAATTGCTTAACCCCTTCTTTTTTCCACGCATGCCCCCTCCCACCCACCCACCCGGCTGGGTAGGCTGTAAAGCATACATATGATGGGCTGTGGAGGCAAATTCTTTCCAGGGTTTAGTTTTCTCTGCCACTAGGAAAGGTCCTTAAAAAGACATATTAATTTGCAAGCTGACCTCACATCTAGCTTACCACCCAAAGTGACTGGGGGCATTCTGTTGAATAAAGGCTAATTTGTTTCAAACATAAAAATACCAAAAGTACTAGCAAAATTGCACAGAATTTAAAGTTAGGCAAATGGGAAGTTCAATTCACCCTTGCCTCCGTAGAATGCAGGGAGAAGTAGGAGAGAGGTGGACTCCTATACTTTCCAGAACTTAAGGAGAGAGGCTCTCAGGTTTAGATTTATAAGCCCTTTATTTATTTATTTATTTATTTTTTGGTACTGGGGATTCAACCCAAGAGCGCTTTTACCACTGAGTTACACTTATAGCTCTTTTTTTTTTTTTTAATTTTTTTTCTTTTTAAATTTTGAGACAAGGCTTCACTAAGTTGCTGAAACCGACCTTGAACTTGTGATTCTCGCTGTCTCAGCCTTCTGAGTCACTAGAATTTCAGGGCTGTGTCACCACACCGGACTCAGATTTATAAACACTATAAAAAGCATTTCCTTACATATAAAAGATAAGGATATTTTTACCACTCTAGATCGATCATGAGAATAAACACAGATAACATACAAAAAGAGTTCCTCACAGTGTCGGAAAACAGATGAGGCTGGGAAAGAGGCATAATAGTATAAGAGCTGGCAAGAAACTCATTTACACACAGTCATGCGGCACACACACACACACACACACACACACAGCCTGCTCCACACTTCTACTTCAAGAAAATGACACAATGACTGCTTCTGCCTTTGAAATCATCTTGCCCCTCCCTTGCACCTTCCTCTGTGAGCCCATGACAATCAGACTGCACATTTAGGATCCACTGAGGAGTTCTGTGTTAGTTGGTAGCGAGCTGTGAATAAGAGTATTTCTCATCTGTTCCTAGCTCCTAGCGTTGTTATACAGAGTAAACCATCAAATATTTATCGATTTTTATCCTCAAGTTTTCATTTCTCCATTTCCTTGATCATATTAGGGTGAGACTCCTGATAATAATTTCTAAGAAATGAGTCACAATGTACCTATTTTTTTCTAATTCTTCTTCTTAATTAGGAAGATAATATAAAATCATAGTTTGCAAATGTTTTCACATCCTGTACTTTCATTTACCCCTTGCCATAGACAACACATTTTGATTTTATTAAGAACACAGCAGGTCCTGGGGTTAGAGCTCAGTTGGCAGAGTGCTTGCCTCGCATGCACAAAGCCCTGGGTTCAATTCCCAGCACCACAGAACACAGGGGACAGGCATAGTGGTGCAAGCCTGGAATCCCAGTGATTCAAGAGGTTCAAGTTCAAGGCCAGCTTGGGCAACTTAATGTAACCCTGTCTCAAAAAAGGAAGCCTGGAGATAGAGGTCAGTGCTGAAGTGCCCCTGCGTTTGTTCAGTCACCAACACTAGAAAGAGAGAAAAAAAAAAAAAAAGAGGAAGAAGAATAGCGGGGTGTGTGTGTGGGGGGGTGGCTGGGTAGAGCACATGTTTAGCATGTGCAAGGCCCCGAGTTTAATTCTGACACACACCTACAACATAGAAGGAGATGCAAGTTTATAAGCTGCTTTTAAAATCTGAGATTATAGCCTAACATTGTCCCTAGACCTGTTGGGCCTTCATTAGACATTGTAACCACAATGAATAATTTTGAACCTAAGAATTGAATGATTGTTTATTTCTTCACTCCCAGATGAAAGCTAATGCATTAAAGAGACAGTTGCCGAGTGTATTTCACATACATCAGGAGCGCAGGAAACGATGCCAAGAAAGGATGCAGGGAGAATTCTCCAGAACTCAGTCTTCAGCTGGTTTAGGAGTCAAATTCTACAGCATGATTCAGCAGTTCACAATCTTGTCTACACAGTCCAAACAGGATTCAATCAACCTGAATTTCTCTCCTTCGGTCTAAAATCCTTTAGAATGAATCACTTCTTCCACACAAAAGCAATCTTTTTGGAAATGGCTAAAATGATCTAACTTGTATTTAATTTTTCATATCCCTGTAGGTAGGCACTGTCCACATCAAATGCCTTTGGCTGTCGGGATGCTTAAATGAAGATGTCAGTGCCTAATTCTGCCTGTCTGAACGAGTCAAGTCATTTTTAGTCTTTCTCCTAATTTATCCAGACAATGACATCAGCTCTCCCTTTGTTTATTTTGGCTGTCATCTTGTTCTTGGCCCAGTTCTAGCTCTCCAGATACCGCAGGCTTCTTGAATTTAGACCTATGGATGCTTGGATTTCATGCTTTGCTGCAGTAGATTCTTGTACCTCCCCTGAAAAACTGCAAGGGTCCTCTGACTTCCAGCTTTGGAAACATTTACATTTATTTAAAATAGCATCTTTGACAAGGCTAGACCTTTTCAAAAGCACACGTGTGAACCTGTTTCCTTTTTTGTCAGCTTGGTGCTCTCTGATGTTCTTTCTCTTGCCCGTCACCTGGGAGAGGCTGGTTCTCCTGACCCTCCTTCTTTCCTGATGCCCTTTTGTAATCTACCACTACTATCCTTCTAAATTCTGGACTCTAAATTCTTGCATTTGGGTAAAATGACAGGAGGGGATGGCAGTGAAGGACCAAAAAGAAGAGAGATGGCTCATCTTGATTTGAATATTAGATCAAAATTAATTCCGTAAATTCCAAGTTGGAGGCAGTGATCAGATAAGATGTAGAATTTAAAGAAAATGGGAACCGGGCTGGGGATGTGGCTCAAGCGGTAGCACGTGACATGCGTGTGGCCCGGGGTTCAATCCTCAGGACCACATACAAAAAAACAAAACAAAACAAAA